ATTCAATAAAATTACTTTAATCAGTATGCATAACGTAACCCAACTATAATCGATTCAAGATTTGTTATGCGGCCAGTAACAGTGTTAAAACGGTTATTAATAATATTAATAGCTATTTCGTACCGATGAGTTATTTTCATCGCTTAAACAGTATTAGTGTAACGTTTTAATAAAAAACAATATAGTTAATAGTTTTTATGGTAATGTTATAGTCGTCTAATGAAAGTAGATTGAATAATATCAATTGGAAATTTGTCTCCACTGGAACCAATTTTATTAACAAAATGTCCACAAATCTATGTTGACGTTTAGACTTTTTAAAGCCATATAATTCGTTATTTACACATTTTGTAAATAAAATAAAATAAAATAAATTCGATTAAATTACACGTAAAATTACACATAAATACTAAATCCGAACGTTAAATTTATAGATATTCGTATCAATTTAACGTTCAACGTAGTTTAGGGCGTGTTTTACATAAGATAAGACAGAGGTCGCTTCGGGCCACCAACGCACCGGTTCTTCCAGAATCCATTACGGCTTATCCACATCATCCCAACGGTAATATCAAACATTACGATTAATCTATAGACGATTCTAGATGGAAATTAATTCAATACAGATAAAGGATGTTTATAGTCAGAATTGCATTAATTTTAAATATTAACTGGTACATACATTACTGTTACTTAAGCTGTCCCTAAGTACAGATATCTCGTACTAAATTATATTAAGTTTAGATTCTGAGTAGGGCAGTAAGTCTTGATGACAGAATTAACAATCATTATGCCTGATTTTTTTTACTATTATTTTAGAGGAAAGGTTTGTATTTTTGGATTTATTGAAATAACTCAAAAAGTATTTTGCCGATTTTAAAAATTCCTTCACCATTTAATAGCTACGTCATCAGTAAATAAAAAAGGTTATGATTTAATAATTCTTCTTATTTCACGCCGACGAAGTCGCTGGCAACAACTAGTATTAAATAAACTTGCTTCATTTATTATATACATTTTTATTATATACGTTTTTTGCTATGAAAAGCATTTCAAAGATGTTTGTTCACTGTAGAAAACATTATCACATAAAGGCGTGAATAGCAAGTAAACGTATCCCTGCAATTTAGCAATTGTGTTGTCAGACAGTGTCATATATCTTGTGTATTACGTTGTTTGTAAGGTTTTTGCTGCCGGCGGTCGCACTTCAACACAGGCGAATAATCTTATAAAATAGCAGCTTTATGTTAAATATGCACTTTAATCCTGGCTTTATAAAAAAAAGGTGTTAAAACAAGGCTTATAATTTTATAAATAGTTGTCGACGACTTTGTGTGAATTTATTAGTTTTCGCTCGCGACTCCGTCCGTGTGGAATTAAATAGAAACATAAACAGTCTATGTGTTATTCCAGTCTATACTTTACATCTATACCAAATTTCTTCGAGATCCGTTCAGTTTTTTAGGCTACAAACTCTAACAAACATTCATCTATCCCTCTAAGTTTAGTAGTATATTAGTAGAATTTTCATTATTATATTCTTAACTCAACGTACTATGATTTCAAAGCATACGTTAACTTTTTAAAAAACAACAAACCATTGAGACATTGTTCTTTTCATACAATCGCTGATCCCCATGCGATAGGGAGCTATTTATACGTAAGCCAACAATGAGTGACGATAAGCGAGCCTCTATCGTACCATCAAATGGTTCATGGCTAATGTGATACAAGCATTGATTCGCGGCATTGTCTTAAAATTATAAATAAATAACTTTTGAAGTGACTTGGGTCATGGTTTTACACTTCTCCACCTTATTGGAATAGAGAAGATACAGATTACTTGCTGACAAAAAAAGACTTCAGAGATTATAATAAAGACACACATACATTTTTATGTTATGAGATCTCAATGTAGCGTTAAACTTTTAAATGTCAAACAACTAGACGAACAGACTTTCCTGTTTATAGGTACAGAATAAGGCTGTCGCTTATTAGAGTTTGGTTAACAGGCTACGAAGTTGATCGTCATCTTTTTTATGTTTGACTCTATGCTTA